TGGAGCGAGCGGGTTATTATCTTAGAAGTAAGTCGTCGGGTGTTTGGGAACACCCCAAAGAAGAAATCGCCACCATATCGCATCCAGTTCAATAGGCTCCGTTGGTTAGGACGCGTTGTGTGTATATCAGACCGCAGCGCCTACTAATCGCAGTGGCTTTTGCAGGCTGAAAAAGGCCACGTGAAAGCCAGAAAGTGATCGGCAGACGAAGCAAGAAGAAACTCACAGAGCAATTAGATTGAGTAGATGTCTCTCGGCTTCCGGGTTCGGGTCCAAAAGATTCCGAAACCGCATGGTTGGAGACACGGAAGATCATGGCTGAGAACCGACAGCAATGGAGATCATGCTGTCAATTACTATCAGACCAGAATGCTTGAAATAGTATGTATGCATAGCTGAATTGTTTACTCTGTATGTTCACCATAGAGTTTCACTTCCTCTTCCTGTCCCTAAGGATAGGTACAATTCCTTTCCTCTTTCAACATTCTCAATTACCTTGTGTACAGTATGATTTGGGCAGTGATCAGTGAAGTTCGCTTCACTGTTTTACACTTTGCAATGATGATGATGATGATGTGTTTATCAGATTGAGTGTTCACTTTGATTCAATATGTGAACGCGTGTTTCACAAGGCAATCTTGGACTAACAGAAAACCGTCTCTATTTCCTGCAGAGTATTGACGCTAAACATGTTTGAAAACTACTTAGCCATGGGTGACCTTTGCGCGACAGGAAGCGCCGATAGCTGGGTACGTTGGCTCATCGAAATGTCCTTGTTTATTCTAGCAAGATTTATGAAAATGTTTCCAGTTTTACGACGTTTTGATATGAAATAGTTTGCTCTCTCTGTATTACTTCTATGCGGATGAATCCGACTGATTGTTGTTTCGATTGCCTGGTGAATCAAATTTCCAGTTTTCTGATCAATTCTTTCTCAACGAGATTCTGATTCCATGTGTGATATGGCAAGCTGGTAAGTGTTTGGAGTAAAATCATACGATACCGTGAAATATATTGTCACCTAATGTGATGGTTTTGATTTACTGAGATCTTAGGTGAACAGTTGCCCACCAGAGAATTTGTAAGCTGATGGATTTCGAAGCACAATTTACGCGATGTAATCGTTTAACCAGTGAGACCGAGTTCCCGGATGATTTACGTTGACGGAGAACGATGAACAGGTTGATGATTCCGATTTCTATGGGTATGACCATGCTCGCTGAGTTAATGGTCGCAAAACTGGTCGTATTTGACCTTCTGAGGTGGTGGTAAGGAAGGAACTATGACACACTTTAGACATAGTATTATTGATTCTGGAAATACAATCAAAAACTGTAGGTTTTTATGCGTTTAGATAGCTCGGGTTGAAATAACATTTCTGTTTGAAGCTACCATCTGGAAACTGAATGAGGGTTGTTTTGCAATTCTTCCAGATTGAGGCATCACTCAATGGACGTGTGCGACCGGTACAACCAAACTGGGTCGTCGAGTGCTCTGCTCAAATTGGTCCTGTGACGCTCAGCCAATCTCGCCGGTCATCCCGCGAACATGCAAGCAAAGGTGATATCGTGCTCTCGCGGCACAAGAGATCGACTGGCGATGTGCGTTTGTTTATATTCACAATTGCCCACAAGATACGATGATGCAGACAATGAACATGCCTCGACCGCTAGTTTGTTTGAGTCACTGAAGCCAATTAAATAGATCTAATGGAGTGATTTTAAAATCATTTGCGTGAATGCAAAGGCGCCGTCGTCGACGGTAATTGCACAGAAGAACAAAAAATAATTTGTGGCACGTCAATGAAGACAGAAACGTTCGTGGGTGACCTCTACTATGTTTCTCAAGCTTATCGGTCTTCTTTAATATTCTGTATGGTTTTGCAATTCAATTTTTGTCATTGACGGACTCGTGAGGGGAAATTGTGATGGAAATTGGATGGAACCTTGAACAGAAGGCAATTTTTATGTGTAATTTTTTTATTTTTTATTTTATTCAATTTGGACAAAGGTGGAGTCATATATGCTTCCATTTCAGTTAGAACGTACACTATTCTTCACTCAGAATGGAACAGTGATATCAATAGTAAAAGCGATATATAAAGAATGTCAGTGATATTTGTTTCATGTAGAAAACATTTGACGTGGTTCATCTGATAGTTGTTCCCGTTTGGTAAGGTTTGGCAGGTTACAGGTTGATTTTTATGAATGTTAATGCAAGATACTAGATGCCGAAATGACGACCGTGTAAACGAATGGGAAGAACAAGACGATAGATCAGGTTGTATTAGATGAAGCGAGTAAATTTTTATGGTGCGAATAACTGGTTGTGCAACTGTCTCGTATACCAACAATTCCAGCATCACGATTCTGTAAGCAGATGTTCAAGCGGAGTAGAAACGATATCATTGGAATTTGACAATCTAAGGTGAGGAGTTTGGAAATGAATCTTGAAAGGATCGTCAAATATTGAAAGGGAGAAATAGAAAGTTTTACTGAAACACAAACCGAAATTTGTGGCCCGTCAACAAAGACACAAATGTTCGTGTTTGATCTCTTCTATGTTACTCAGGCTTATCAGTCTTGTTTAATGTCCTGTATGGCTTTGTAATTCAATTTTTGTCATTATCGGTGATTTCAAGGTATATGCGGTGAAAATGGGATGGAGCCTTGAACAGAAGACAATTTTTATCTGTACTTTTTTATTTTTTATTTTATTCAATTTGGACAAAGGTGGAGTCATATATGCTTCCATTTCGGTTAAAATGTTTACTGGTATCCACTTGGAATGGAACAGTGATATCAATAATAAAAGCGAAATCAAAAGAATGTCAGTCAA